CAAACTTTTGAGGTGTGATTTTTTTGTGTGTCTCTAAGAAATTTAAAATAATTTTGAAATCATATGAAGATAATTTCATTATTTTTATTTTTCCCAGATTGACACTGTCTCCCACTTGTCAGTCTTGTTGATTGTCTCTCTTAGTGTTGGTTTTGGTTATGTGTTTTGGAATTTTTGTTTGCAGGTAGACTGTTCTTCTTTCTCTGCTTTTAAGTTGCCTCTCGAGTTTTAGTGATTTAATGACTATCTTGGGCTACCATTGGAATGCTGCGCCAGAGCTAGGCTTTATATTGGAATATGGTCATGATTTGGGCACCTATCACATTTAGTCACAGAACTGGCAGCCAGCTTGGTTCAAGTCCAACCTTTCTCCTTCAAGCACTGCAGGTGCACAGATTGGCATTTGCCCTAGCCTTGATCAGTGGTCACTGCTTTTTTCCATTGCTTGCCATGGGTGGAGAACCCTCCTCTACTATTCAGTCTCTTGAATGAGTCAGGCTCTATTTCCTGCAACACTGAGGAACTCTTGGCCAACTTCTAGATCTCGCTGTCGCTTTTCTTACTTAGAGGTCGATAGAACCCTAACTTTAGCCTCTGTTACTGCTGTTTACTCTGTGTGTGTGTGTGTGTGTGTGAGAGAGAGAGTATGTGTGTGTGTGTGTGTGTGTGTGTGTGTGTGTGTGTTGTTATTGTTGTGTTGGGTTGCTAAAGTCCTATCCATGGATATGTCCATCTTATCTCTTAGTGTGGCTATGCCTCATACTAAGCCATACATACATACATATAGACATGCATGTTTGTCTTGGTTGTGGGGAAGGTTAGAACAAGAAATCATAGTACCATCCTAACCAGGGAGGCAACTGCAAGGGAAAAAATGAAAAAATATACCTAAATTATAGTTTTTGTGATTAATTGGATGGTAGTACCGCTCACCAAGATAGAGAACATAGTAGGTTTACAGAGAGAAGATGATATAATTTATTTTATACAGTTTGAGGGATTTATTAGAAAACTAAAAGAAAATTTTAATAGACTGTTAGAAATAGCATGAAGTTTAGAAGAGCAAAAATAAATGTGAAGAGATGGGAATCATTAACTTTAGAGTCTTAAGTCTGAGAGGTTATGAGTTTGTAGAATAAATCCGAGAACCAAATGGGCAGAAGATACACAGATGAAATGGAATTAAAGTCTGAAAAAAAGTTTCAGAAAGGTAATAGAAAATACGGTATAAAAGAGTTTTAAAATGTATTAAATAATCTAAGATTATTTAACAAACATGTATCACCTACTTTTTATGTAAAGCATGAATGTTCCACTCGCTTAAATATAATGATGAAATAAGTAAAAGTTGCTGCTGTTGTGGATCTCATAATGAAAGGGAGATAATAAATCAAATAAATGCTGTATGGCATGTTTCATAGTGACAAAGGCCAAAAATAAAAGTAAAGCAAAGAAATGGGTATAGCATTATCAGGTATAGGGACTAAAACTTTAGTTAGAATGGCCAGAGACAATTTACTCATTTTATTATAGATCCAGCAACACAGTACATGTATGGAAGCGTTCCACATGGAGTGGACAAACCACAGGTTTACAGGTGGTGTTGCAGTAGCATGAAAGCAATGGCTAAGGCAGAAAGAGGTAGGAAGTGAATCCAGACAGGTAATAACAGGTGTCAGACGCTGAGACCTTAAGTGATCAGCATCTGGCATTGTCTCTGTGGAACAAGCATAGACCTTGAAGGGTTTCAGTCGGAGGAGAGACATATTAATAGATTTATTGATTGATTTATTTTAAGGCTGAGAATTGATCTCAGGTCCTCATGCATGCTAAGCATTCACTCTGTCACTAAGCCATCATACGGTCCCTTACCAGGTTTATGTTACGTCTGTGGATAATGGAGTGAAAAA